TCTATGATTCTATGATTCTAGATTTGGTTCACAACACAGCTCAAGGAAGGAATGAGGAAATATCCAGGTTTCTTAAAAAGAAACTGTTAGAAGTTTTCTGCCATGTTTTCTAGTCTTTCTTTCGCGACATTTTCATAAGAAACAGAGTATTTGTTTAAAGAGGATTTTAAAACATCTACTACACATTATTAAGGTAAAATATGTCATAGACCTGCCCTAACTCTAAGCAACCAGGCTAAAAAAAAAAAAAACAAAAACCCAAAAACCTCATTCTCATGTTATTTGAAAAACAAGAAAACTTAAGAAAATAAGAGGAAAGCCTGGAACTAGACAATGCTTTAATCACATCTAATGTGTCTGGAAAATATCCAAGGATTCATCCATTTATATTTTATCAATTTAACAACAGGAATGGTATCACAAATCATTTTGACCATTTTGTCTAGGAAAGCAGTTGCAGTGAATTATTTTTTACTAATGAAATTCCTCTGATAAGCACATTTCAGTGCTGAGAACATTCAAAAGAAGCATGTTTGTAGAATAGCACAGGCGTATCTATATTAGTGCTGTTTTCTAAGCTTTTGAATATCGTCAGTGTGATCACGGTACTGGACTTAATGTAGTCCATAACATGCGGTGCCATGTGTCACTTATTTCTGTGCAGCAGATTTTATAGTAGTGCCTAGATTTTTCATATTTTCCACTTGCATTTGTGATTGAGATATTGTATCAAATACGCTTGTACGCTAGTCCTCTGTTCAGCAAAGTTGAATCCAAGGGGATTTAAAAGTGTGTGCTTTAAAGCTGTCCTTGACTGGCCCCCAACAGCTCCTTAGTCTTCTCAAGATGTCTAATCTCAAGTGACAAATTCCAGTATAGAAATATGGGCTTTAGAAACTCTAACACAAACCCTGCAATGTCTGCTCTGGCAAAGCTCCCATCAAAAAACTCACTGCTTCTCTTGGCATTATAAGGTTAGAAAGGTTTAATCCTATTTTTTTTGTCCAACACCTGCTGGGTACCTAAGTAAGCAGGGTCTAACAGCCAATGAGAAGTTTCCTTTGGGTAGCAGTTCAGGTTGTAAAGGTTCATCAAAGGCGAAGTCTGAACATCAGGGCTAATTTTCACATGTCTGTCAGAAGGATTCGAAGAGGGATTTACTTATGAAAATCAGAGCTCAGAATGCAATTTCTTTTACCGTTCCATCACAAAATGGATGCCTTAGGTTATACATTCTCTTTGAGAAGCCGTGAATGACCCTAGTTGAATGGTTCCTCCTTATGTTTGCCCCTTTGATCTTTTGCTGAACATTTTTCCCAGTGTTTGTCTGCTTAGTATTTCTTTCCCCTGTAAACCAAAGGTGACTGAAAGTAAGAGAAGAAAGTAAGTGGTATTTGCCATTGTTGATGACAGATTTTCAGATTAAGGAAACCAAGTCTATGCTAAAAATAGTCAGCAAGACAAAGCTGAAGTGGTGGAAGAGAGGATGCTATTTGTGTGTTTTAATTTCCTGCAAGAGTTGTAGTGACAGAGAGGCTGATAAATCTAAACTCCAGTGTGCCTTAGACTTTTTGAATGAGCAGCCTTTTTTTTGGTTCATCTTCCTTTAACACCTTCAGCTCAACAGCAGCTCAGTGTTTCCCTAGAAGGCGGCAAGAACTGCAGCAATTAAGGATAGTTGGTAGTTTCCTAACTAGTGTAAACACTCAGATCCTATAATTCAAGCTACTTTACACTCCCTTGCCTTGATGGACTCAGCTCCTGCCTACTGTCATTTCTTTTTCTGAAATATGGTCACCCTCTTTGATCCTTTTGCAGATCACCAAGGGGTTATGACCTACAGTTTGAAAAATAAAACTCAATTAATTATATAGGTCAAGAATGCATCAGTTGTCTTACTTGCCAGGGACAAATTGTCATATGTGTTTATTTTCTAAGAGTAAGAACCCTCTTCAATAACAGCAATATGCAACTACCTGCACATATTTGTAAATTTCTATACATTATCAGTTTGAAGAAGTCATATAATGTATTTGAAGGCCATATAAATGTTTCCACCAATTTTAACATTAAGTTTTGTTTTGGGTTTTTTTCTTTTTAAATTTATTCCCAGATACTGGAATTGTGCTGAAAGTCATTACAATTTACAATCAAGAGACAGAATCAATGGAAGAAGTGATTCTTGAAGAGCTGCAAGTATTCAAGGTGAACTGTGCTGTTTATGAAGTATATATGTCTTGAATTTTCTGTAGAATTAAAATGTCTAAAAATCCTGAGGATAGTCAAATGTGTAATAGTTATGTGCAAGACATTTTCTAATGATCTAGTTTTTTTATGACAGGAAATCTTCATTTTCAACTGAAATTTTTCTGAGGTGGAGTTATAGACCAAGTATTGAAGCATATTTCAGCAAACCAGGACAAGTATTTTTCTGTTTACATGCTTGGAGGTTGTAGTGTGAATTTTAATCAGAAACTTATTACATTTTATTTTATTTCCCCTCATATACTCTTTTAAATACTTAATTGGATAACTGCATTCATAAAAATGTGCCTACTACAACCCTGGGAGCTCAAATGAGGTCCAGATTAAAAAAAAAACAAAACAAAACAAAAAAAAAAACACAAACAAACAAAAAAAAAACCCTTGGAAGGGACCTTAACAACCCAATCCTCAGAAAGAATGAATCAATTAATCTGTCTTTACAGTTCTAATGATGCAAAACTCCATACTGTTTAAGAATAAACCAGGACTAAAGCTCAGTATTTTGTATGTGAGAAAGCTAACATAATGAAATTCTCTTAGTGAGTATTCAAACATGTCATGTTAGCCACATAAAGCAGGAGGCTAACCAACTTGCAACCATAGAGAAAATCTAACACCCAAATATAGATATTTAAATCTAGTACTTGCATTTAGGCAGTGTAACTATTGTCTTGTTGTCTGGGGGGAAAAACACCTAAATTGCCACTCTTGATAAAGCTGGTTTTCAATAGACTTATTAGGGGCTATTTCTTGCCATTGCTCCAGGAAATCTGAGCAGAGGGTAGAAAGGACAATGTTAAAAGAAGGAATCCTTGCTATTTTTATCTTATCTTCAGTGAATGTTTTGTTATAAAGAACACTCCACTTATCACTCTCAAGTGGGACAAAAGAGATTCGGTGGTGGCAAGAGCTAATGTCCTGTTTGACAGGGAAATTGTAGTGTTCCAGTGGCTCCGATAATCCTGAATTAAGTGTTAGCTAGTTGTTTTTAAATAAACTCTTTTAAAGTGATACTCCTGAAAGTCACAATATCCTCACATCTTTCTGTAGCATCAGAATTTAAAGAAAGCCAACGTATCTAGCAAAGTAGAATATAATAAGTAAACATCAACATTATTTTACTTAATTTATTGTCATAACAAAAAGGTATTCTTTCTTCTAAGCAAGGAAATATTTCCTATTTTCCAGGTGCCTGTTCCTATTATTTCTATGGAAATCTCTTCAAAAAGGGTAAGTATTTGACAAGTTTTAAAATTGAAGATTGTGACTCAAAGGTAAGAAAGCTATAAGCTGTATATATAGAGATAAAAATATAGATAGACAGTACACAATCTATAATGAGATCTGGTCTGATAACTGTAATACTTTTGTAATATAAACCTATGGCTATATGCTCTGTTCCTTTATGAAGCATTTATTTTCAATTTCAAAATTTTCAATTCTAGTGTTAAATCTCCTTAGTTCACACTATTATTCATATCAAAGCAAGTAAAACCCCATCTATTTCATGAGTTACTGGCACAGTAATCACAGTAGGGATTAGTTTGGTGGATATGGCAACTCACAGAAAAGTTCCTCGTTGATAAATGCAGACTTCAGCCCCATAAGGATATCAGTGCAAAAAGGGTCTTGCTTGCTCTCTCACATACATGGTTGTCCGTGAAAGGCAGGGCTGTTTGGATCTGACTCCCATTTGTGCTTCTGCTAGTTTCTGCTAATATAAACACCCAATTTATTACTCTTGAAGTTAGATTCTCATCTGTATCATATCATAGATATCCATACCATATCATCTCAGGATGGAGCCATTATAATCATCTCGGGATAGTTATATCCTAATGGATCTTAGACATCCAATGTTATATAGGCGCACATAAACAAAGTGAAACACAAGTAACAAAGAATGAAAACTACATTATTAAGAGGTGTGAGTGCTCCCCAAAAGATCATTTTGGTCTTGGTGTCCAGTCAAACTGCATTCTTTCTGTAGGTAATGTAGAAAGACAAACTCTTCTGATGGTGATTCAGAGGAGGATCTTAAGTGTTTCCATGTGAAAAGCAGCCCTGAATTGTCTAACGCTGCACCTAAGTGATTATTTGAAGAAAGACTTCAGTGTAATTTCAGATATATGACTTACCTTTAGCTCTCAGTAAAATGTCTTGGTAAAAGGGTTCTGTTGGAAGAGTAAAAAGGAGATACTGTATAAGTAGTCTTCCTGCATTACATCCAGCTCCCACTCTGGAGAGAATTGTAAAAACAACCTGCCAAAGCAATCTAGTGATTGAAGAATATACCTTCTTGTGAGAAGTAAAAGTAGCTTAACTTATTCAAGATATCAGAAAAAACTCTGAGCGGACAGGATAGCCAGACATAAAATTTTACCCAACAAAGTAACTTCCTACTGTATGTGTACAGGGATTCTTGACCATTGAAGGCAAAGCAGTATCAAGATCAAATAACCAAGTTCAACTTGTTGAATGGAGATAAACTTCAATATTGAAATAGGATGTAGTTTTCTGGTACTGAGGACAATTACATGTTGCAATACATGTTAGGGACAGGGTTGGCACCAAGTCATTTTGTCTTTAAAATGTGATACATAAAGCAAAATATGACTTAGTGGAGTTAATGTGAAAAAAGTAATGTAGCTCCTCTGCTCCAGCGTTTTGGCTGGTCTCTTCTGACCTTGGAGTTTGTGAGCCTGTGGAGACCATCTTGCTAGCTTTGCTTCATTATCTTTATAACACTAACCAGTGCTCAGTAAGTCAGTGGTACAATAAAATATCATGTTTCAGGGCTGAACAAGTTATCTGCAAAGGCTAGGAAGGAATGTTCTTTGATGTTCAGTTAGTGAGACATCAGATGCTTTTGCTCTCCTCTGATGAACCAAGTCTCAGACTAGTCTTGCTACCCCGGCTAAAAGATGAAAGAGGAAAATCCCAACTCATATGTCACATTGAGTGGTGTTCATATCTTCTGGGACAATCACACTGCAGCCACTGCAGGCAGACAAGAAAGAATTCCCCTCAAACAAGGATTCTAGGTTTCTTCTTCATTCCAGTTGGCAGATTGAGTTCCTGCTACTATCATATGGTTTACCTCAGCTGAAAAAGTCTTCAAACATTCCTGTTGCCGGCCTCTCCTAGTTTTAAATTTAATGTTTTGTGATAGGCAAGCCAGACTAAATGACCCGCCTGTATTTTCCAGCTTTAAGAATTTTAAAATGTCTGATTCTGAAAGCTTGGTCTAAGAGTGGGAATTATGGACTAAGTTTGGCCATTAAGATAAGCACAGTTTTAAGTGTACATTAGGAATCCTTTCTCTGACTGGTAAAACCATGGAACTGAGCTGTGCATAAGGAGATCCCATTGCAGAGCACATTGCATATTTCTGTCTTCGCTCCATTTACATTCACCAGGAACAAGATTTTTTCTCACATCCCTGTAAATTCAATCTATTCTCTTCTGAATATTATGCCAGCAACTCATGAATCAGACTGATTATCTTTCACTAGATTTGAAAAGTACATTTATGTGAACTCAGAATATTCAAACCGTCTTAATATTAGTGCTGAAAAACCCCCAAACCCCTACAAATAAGTATTAAAGAAGTAGGTTGTGACCAGTTAATTTCTAAGGAAAGACTGCATAGTATCAGGAGAAAAAGTCTATCTCCTGTGCACTGAGGGATAATACAAATCATAGTAATACATAAGTAAGTAGTAACCACATAAAGAGTTAAATTTACGTGATAACTCCCATTTTAAGATTGAGGTTGCTTATTACTTTTGCAAATTTGTACTTCTGTGTTTAAAGTCTTTCATGTAAAGGGTTTTTTTTCTGCAGATCAGTTATATGACAGAGAGTGTAAAAAGGGAGGCATTGGAAACTACCTTGAGGAAGAAAAAGAAACTTTAACCCCTGTCTATTCAAATATAAAGTTTACAAAGTTGAAACTTCAGAAGTGAGGAAATGCCAAAATGAACTTGTTCATTTTACTTTCTTTCTCTCCTCTGTCTTCATGCGGAGAGTCTGGTCTGTAAACTGGTATTTTCCTACAGAGTAACTCTGCCTCCCTCAGGGCAGAGGCTGGATGTACAACTGGCAAGCAATGCTAAAGCTAACATTTTTTAATAACTCCATTGTTAACAGAAGTTTTAGTGGACGTTCTAGGAATTTAATCGTTTGTGGTGTATTTTTTTCCAGCAACAGCTCTACGTTGGATCTGAGTCGGTCATAGCTCAAGTGAAGTTCCACCAGTGCGACATGTACGGCACTGCCTGTGCTGACTGTTGCCTTGCTCGAGATCCGTACTGCGCCTGGGATGGCATCTCCTGCTCCCGATACTATCCCACAGGAATGCAGGCGAAGAGGTAAGAACTGATGCTGTCTGTGATATCCTTTTTGCAAAATAGCTACTACTACAGAGTTCCTACCGCAGCTCGAAGTACATTGTATCTCACCTGCATAACAATAACTGAGCAGGAAGAAAATATGTTAGCTGCTAGTTTATTAGCGCAACCTTAGGGGATTGCAAAGGACTCATAGAATCACAGAACGATTTGGGTTGGAAGGGACCTTAAAGACCACCTAGTTCCACCCCCCTGCCAGGGGCAGGAACACCTCCCACTAGACCAGGTTGCTCAAAGCCTCATCCAGCCTGGCCTTAAGACAGCCAGGGATGGGGCATCCACAGCTTCTCTGGGCAACCTGTTCCAGTGCTTCACCTCCCAGATTAACAGGACGGCATAAACTGCAGTACTAGGAATATTTTTTATGAATGAAACAAAGTCATTTAGTAATTATTTGCAGTAAGTTTTAAACAAACATCAATTTCTTTATAAATCTTTTGGTGTGCAGAAAAAAGATTCTTTACAACTTCAGAGACATATTTTGGTTTTATTATATAGAAAATATGTCACACTGCAATAACAAATACAACAGAGTTTCAAAATCAAAGAAGAATCTGTGGTAATAGTCAAATACCTTCACCTACCAAAATGAAACCAGGGTATCTGCAAAAGTTAAGGGTTAAAATATTTCCCAGCAGCCCGCTAGGGCTGTACCAACATTTAGGTTGTCCTGCATGCTACTTATTGTCTAAGAAAAGATAAGAGAAACTCACTTGGTCCTGAACTCTGTTGTACATTTTTAGCATATTTTTCACCTAAGACAATTTCCAGAGTAGCAACCCTTAAGTCCCCTGACACACATATTTATCCAGGGCTGAGTGATATGGGGAGCACACCAGGCACCTTCCTGCGCCCTACCTCCCCAACATTCAGCAGGTCAGTCTCTAAAAGAAGAAAACACTGCTGTTATCACTGTACTTCTCTTAAGATAAGCACTGCAGCAGCAGAGAAGGGATTTGCACTCAATTGAATGTTTCTGAAGTCTGCAAAACTTGTTTTACATATAAGAATCTGTGGAACAGCCAGGAAGAACTAATAATGTTGAGAGGGATGGATAGCATTTCCTTTGGTCACTTTTGATCCCAGGTGAAGCTCAGAGCATTTTAAACCTATGAGCTTGCACTATCTGTGTGGTACGTGGAGAGACAGGAAGAGCCACTCAGGACATGTGTATGGAAGTTGTTCCCTCCCTCGGAGTTCCTGGCAGAGGGCATTACTGGAAAAGGCAGGTCTCAGCAGACAACATGGAGTTTTCGGACACCAGATTACCCTGAGCAGGTAGTAACCCTGGCCTTCAGATACAATTAAAGCCACATCCCAGAGCATACACATCTTAATTTGGCCTTGCCTCAGAGGTCCAGACTTCTGCTGGAGCTGTGAAGGGTGGTACAAATAATGCGAGTACAAGGGGCATTGGAGAATGCTAGTTTCCCCCTTCTTGGCAGCCCTCACTTCATCAGGACTTATGGAGACGTGCCTTACATGACAGCCCACTTGAGCTGGTCTTAATACCAACTCTATCTTCCCGAATGTGACCCTTAACGCAGTACATTTAGGTGGGCTTTTGACTTGTAAGAGCAGCCCTGCTACTGCAGCAAGAACACTGCTAAGAGCTCTCTTTTTAAACCCACTCCTACTGGCAAAGAGTTGAACCAAAGCAGGGATATACAATTTGTCCTCCCCTCTTTGATTAAAAAGCTTTCTGTTTTAAATCCTAATGCCTCCAAGGTATGACAAGTGTTTAGAGAAACATGAAATAGAAAAACTGTAAACTCAGGCATTTACAGGATACAGAGAGAACTGCAACATAAATACAAACTCTCTGCTTGGCAGCTGGTACTAATGTGTTGAATTTTGAAAACCTATGTTATAATTCCTTGCAAATGCACAGCCTGAATAGTTGATTAAATATAGGATTTAATTAAAGACAAATAAAAACCAAGCCCAAAATCCCATATCTTGATGCTGGCAGTGCAGTGTACTTTAATGTCATGGTCGTTACAGGTGTACGGCTCCTGCATACTGCAAATACTTAAGAATGTAGGTGGAAATTATATGGCATTCAACTTCCACGAAGTACACTTGAGAGCACAAAGAAGCCCAAGACTTAAATAAAAGCTTTAGTTCACTATTACCTCTGCAATCTGATTTAGGCAGGTTTAATCTTTATCTAAGCAAGCACTAAATTCTGTAAGTCAGATTGATTGCTGTGCCAGCTCGCCATGCAGGCTGAAAATGGGCTGAAGTAATTTTAAAGTTTCTTTCAGCTTGGGTAGGTCTGGTAACCTGTGATTCCTTTGAGAATTTTAAGAAGCTGACAGTCACCCTCCTGTTTCTTCTCCTTCTCTGGCCATTCTCCACCACCCACTCCACCAGCAAACACAAAATCTTGGATTCTGTCCCTCACGGTTAGCAAGAAAGCTCCGAACAGACTTTTTTTTCGTCCACAAATCTATGGGGTTTTACCCCCAAGCCTCCTGGTCCTCCCAGCTGCCAGCCTGCAACTGGGTGCCCAGGCTGAAGGGGGGCAGTGTAGTGGCACTGACGGCAGCCAGGGGCGCCGCGGAGGTCAGGGCCTGAAGCAGGGAGCCATGGGGGGTGGTTAAGGGGCTGCCTTCACCTTGCAGCTAATCCCAGTGCTAACCCAAATGTCCCTCTGCTCCCACATTGGGTTCGGCAGACTAAAACTCAGCCGCCTGCTTCACTTATGTGAAGCGCAATGAAACCTTTTCTCCCTGATCCATTCTGAATTCGCCTCATTGATCCCTGGGAAACAATAAAGAAACATGAGGATGATGGTGGTGGATGATGAGGATGATGATGACTGCGTTACTTTCTTGCAGATCATTTCTGCTGAGTTTGTGAAAGCACAGAGCTACAGACTGAAATCTAAATACAGGAAGTTCTAGCTTGCAAAAGATATTTCCATACATTCAGTACATTTGCTAGTCACTGAAAATTATTCCTTATAGTAGTTTATCACAGGAATTGTCCGGTACTCTATTATTCATGGCATTCTGAATGAAATGATTACTAAGAAAAAATAACAAATACCAGGCTTATGTCAGTATTTGTGAAATACGTTTATCTTCCACCATCTCCCTCTCTCTCAGCATCTCTCCCCATTTTTAACTTCCCTTCATAAAAATAGCAAGTGAAGGCACAGGTAAATGTATCTCCCCCAGTCTTCACACTCACAACAGCAAAATTCCATCAAATAAGCATTTCTTTTTATTGAATGTTTCTAACACTAGAGAAGCATCCTGTCTTACATGACAAGTATTTTTTTAGCTCTATGATGATCTTGAGGAACTGAAGAGTAAATAGCACATGTCGGCTAACTGTCCTGTTCCTGGTAGATAGGGCTACCAGGCCTGACAGCAGTGGGGTTTTCCTGTTTGGATTTTTTCAAGGTTAATGTCTATAGAATTTATGTATATTTGTGCAAGAGAGTGTCTCTTCTGAATAATGTGTTTACATAGATATGCAAAGCTGGTGGCAGCATTATTCAGCACTGACACTTGCAGAGATATCAGTAAGCACGGCTGCAGCATCTATACATTACAATGAGAACTCCCAGGGTGTGATAAAGCCCTGTTGCTATCTGCAAATCTCAGGTTTTTTTAAGAAATAATCTTTTTTTTTTTTTTAGCACTTCTGCCTTAAAGGTCCCAATGCAATCCCTGTTGAATCTGCAGATTCCCCTGAAACACCAATGGCAAATCATTGGTTCTGCTATGAATATTAGTAAAGGTTAAAGCTGTCCTCTTGGTTCAACAACACCACTAGATCAGAAGTCCATACAGGTTGCAGAACTCAGGAAATAATCCCTGTTTACTGCTGGGTTAGAAATATGGTGAGCAACATCCATGGGCAAGATCTTGAACAAGTGTAAATCTACACAGTTTCAGTAAATTCAATTTGTGCCAAATAAAAATTCTGCCTTTTGTGTTGACATAGCACTGCAGAAAAGCATTATTTAAGTAGTAAATACAAAGACTAATAAAAATGCTTGGATTTTCTTGTTTCTATCATATATGAATTATACTGTACACATTCCTGTTGTGTAAGATTTGCTGCACTGCCTATTTCTGTTAATCTGTTATGTATGGCACTGGTAATACAGTGTAGAATTATTCTTTATGCAAATACAGGAAAGTTATCCTTGGTATAGCTAAATTTCAGGTTGTTGGAAATACTTCATCTGGTGTGATGGGCCCGATGGGCCAAGACCAACTGTGTGAGGTTCAACAAGACCAAGCGTCAGGTCCTGCCTGCACTTGCACCACAACAACCCCGCACAATACTTGGAGACGAGTGGCTGGAAAGCTGCCAGGGGGAAAAGGACCCGGGGTTGTTATCAACATCTGGCTGAACATGAGCCAGCAGCGTGCTCAGGTGGCCGAGAAGGCCAACAACATCCTGGCCTGCAGCAGGAACAGTGTGGCCAGCAGGACCAGGGCAGGGATTGTCCCCCTGTACTGGGCACTGGTGAGGCTGCACCTTGAATCCTAGGTTCAGTTATGGGCCCGTCACTACAAAGAAGACACTGAGGTGCTGGAGCATGCCCAGAGAAGGGAACGGAGCTGGGGAAGGGTCTGGAGCACAAGTTCTGTGAGGAGCAGCTGAGGGAGCTGGGGATGTTCAGCCGAAAGTAGGGGAGGCTCAGGGGAGACCTTATTGCTCTCTACAACTACCTGAAATGCAGTTGTAGTGAGGTGGGGGTTGGTCTCTTCTCTCAAGTTACAAGTGATAGGACAAGAGGAAATGGCCTCAAGTTGTGCCAGAGGAGGTTTAGATTGGATATTAGGAATAATTTCTTGACTGAAGGGGTTGTCAAGCATTGGAACAGGCTGCCCAGGGAAGTGGTGGAGTCACCATCCCTGGAGGTATTTAAGAGGCATGTGGACAAGTTGCTGAAGGACGTGATTTAGTGGTGGTATTAGCAGTCGGACTTGATGATGTTAAAGGTCTTTTACAACCTAAACCATTCTATGATATGACATTCCAATATGCTCTTTCATTTCCCTAGTAAGCAATCTCAATTTTATCTATCAGGACACTCAATCCAAAAAAAAAAAAAAAAAAAGCCATAAAAACGCACAAATCTTCTGTGAATGCACCATACAATTATGGTTTTCATTATTTTTCTGTAAATGTATATAAAAAACCCAAAGGCCAAAACTCGTAACAATTTTTCTCTCAAAAGAAATTGCATTATTTCTAGGTTGCAGACAGGGCTCCAAGGTCTGCTACACAGACATAAAATAAAGTATTTTCTCTGCACTTTGAGATTCCGAAGTGAAAAAACTAACAGGAGAGCAGACAATAAAATTCCCATACATGGCAAACTCTTCTAAATTGAAAAAGGAAAATTTCCTTGCCTTCCAGATATAGAGAACCCAAAGACAGGCTAAAGGTCCATTTGACTCTTCCTCAAATTGAATGTCCAGTTGGTTCAGAGGACCATGTTTTACTAGTTAACATGTCAGTGCAGTTATGCGTAAACTGGACATGAAGTTGTGCCTCTTCTCCAGACAAGTGTGTTTCTTTTTTTCAGACGTGATCCCCAACAGGTTGAGTAAAGAGAAAATACCAATGTGTAAATGAGTGTTTCTCATAACAATTGTAATTTTTTTAAGAGTCAAGATTTGGCTCCTTATGCATTAAATGAATGCCAGGTTAGCATAAACCCAACAATATGTAAGCTTAACATGTTATCTCAATTCCATTTTTTCCTCTCCAGACGTTTCCGCAGACAAGATGTTCGACATGGAAATGCAGCACAGCAGTGCTTTGGCCAGCAGTTCACTGGTAATCTACTCACATGTTTACAAATTGCTAGGAAATGCCTGGAGCAGAAAGCAGACTTTGCCAGGTGTATAAGCCAGCCCATGATCTCACGTGAGATTTTTTAGTGGCGTATTCCTGTAGTAAGTTGTAAGAGTCATGGTGATGAGCCCATGTCATCCCCATCTAAGAATTACTTTATTTTGATGGCAGGTCAGGTTCATCCCATAGCATTCATGCAGACCTGTGTTCCTGCCATTCAGATCAGGGATGTGGCTACTGCATCTCAAGGCCTCCCAACAGAAACGCAAGTGGGAAGGTGGGCAGGGGTAGGAAACAACAGCATCCTGAAATGCATATGAAATACTGTCAGGACACTCAGCCAGAAGTGATAATTGAAGGACTTAACTAGCACAGACACAGGCAATGACATTTCAGAACACAAATGTGTTATTAATGATCATTATTTTCCTAAAAAATCATACATTATTGTGTCTAATGCTGTTATCCAAACCTTGGAAAGTGATGATTTCAAACACTGGTATAGGGAATGGCAAAAAAAAAGACAGAAAACAGTTGCCTAGATATCCTCAGTATTTTGCAGGATAACACACAATACATTTCTAGAAGAAAAAAAATCAAATATAAAAGGTTCTTTTAGATATATAGCCAGAAAAAAAGATATTTTAGATATTAAACAATAGATAGATATATTTTACCTGACAAAGCTTCAATAAAATTGGAGTCCATTGGAGGATATAGTAGATTTTGGAAAAATATATTCCAATATGAATTATACAGTAAATTTGAAATACAACAGAAAAATAACAATTATATCAAACCTTGTATATTTTAGGGTATAAAAGCTGGTTGGCCTCATGAATATTTCTCACTACTGTGGAATAAAATGATCTAATGAATGAGGCAATTGGTCTCCTCCAGTGTAACACCTAGCTTATCTTCCTCCAGGTGTTTTCTTGGATGGAAGAGCAGAACTGAGTTTTGATTAATTTAATTCACCTTGGTTTTGTTAGCACTCACAGGCCAAAACTATAGATTAATTTTACATGTGTATAACATGGATATGTGAAATAGTTGTTTTTAAGAGTTTCATGCTGCAAAAGGCTATGTGCTCTCATTTATATCCCTAAAAACATTTAATTACTTATTAAATTAAGCATGTATTGAGTCCTCCTGTTTCACTGACAAATGAAATAGATTAACTATTCATAAGAATCAGGCAAAAGCAATTAGCAGTGTGAAAGTCTGAGATCTGCTTCTTCGTGTAAAATCTTACCTGAATCATGGCAAAATTTGATCCATTTATCTTATGGCCAGATCCTCTGAGATGATGAAAAAATTCACTTAGCAGGTCAGACCTTCAGCAGACAGTACTTTTCAGTCACTATCTGGTTGGATCTGAATTCAACCTCACTCGTAAAAGTAAACATATCCTGAACATGGAGTGTAACAAGTATTGGCAGTAGCACATATTTTAAAAACATTTCTTTTCCTTCCAGGTGAAGTCTTGGAGAAGACTGAGGAGAGACTTGTTTATGGAATAGAGTACAACAGTACCCTTCTGGAGTGCACCCCTCGGACCTTACAAGCGAAAGTAATCTGGTTTGTCCAGCGAGCACATGAAACTAAGAAGGAAGAGGTAAATATTCTTACAGTCTAACTTTTTAGCCTAAAGAGCCTGTGGTTAGGAACATTACATCTTCATTGAAAGGCCTGTCATCTGTTGCTGAAATGTACATGGATGTAAGGGAAAATCATTATGTTCATCTGCTCTCGTGAATTAATAGCCCTGAGAATTTCATCTGGTGTTGGCACTCATCATCTTGAATGCAGATGTTACAAGTGTAGCAAAACTTGATTTAAGATCTTAAAACAAGAGAATCCAGCGCTTCTCTTGGTATGTTATTGCAGAGGTGAAATATGTATATATGACTCCTACCGTCAGTCTAGCTTAACATCTATTCATTCCTATTACAGAACATTCTGAAAATGGATGTTGGTGGATTCTCTGCCTGTTTTACATATATTTCCCTATTATGGAAGTGCATCATAAGTGCTAGCATCTTTATTCCTCAACACCTACCTGACACACATCAGTGTAGTTATCCCCACTTAGTATGTGGAAAGAGAGAGGAAAGCCTCAGACCACCAAAGGGATAAGGATGGTTGCCTTACTGCAGAGCAACTAGGCTCTGATGCAAATGTGAGACCCCAGCTTAGCCACAGACATTTGGAGATCTCTGGCGTGGGACTCACCTGATAGTAAATGTGGACATCTATAATACAGAGGACTTTAGCAGGACCTAGTTAATGTAGGCTACCTTTGAAATCAAACTAGCTGCTGTTGCAGTGGTACCACCTCATGCTAATCTGGACAGCTTCATTTGGTAAAATAAGTGATTAAAAAATAATCAAGGATGCCACACCCTGCTTTAGATATCAAAAATTCAGCAAGATTAATTTCATCCCCACTTCAGGCACATTTTTGCCTGAGGTTTTGTCCAAGTCCCAAATCTCTGCATGGTTTTTCATACCTGATATTTTTTCATGTATTTAGCTGTGAGAATCCCATTTATGCATTCTTACAATGGAACTATTAATCAGGTCTTTCACAAAAGGTAGTGAACTGTGAGGGAGGAAGGATGTCCTGTTATATACATATCCCATTAGCTCAAAGACTGGATATGAGGAGTGTAACTTTGAACAGACTCTAACCTTTCAGAATATACTACTCGGATGAATTTGTTTTAATGTTTCCCCCTGAATGTTATTCCATATTTAATTAATAATCATATAGTCATTAGAAAAAGACAAAATCAGAGAGAAATAGAATGATAGAGTAATAGAATAACAGAATGATTTGATTTGGAAAGGACCTTTAAAGACCATCCAGTTCCAACCACCCTGCCATGGGCAGGGACACCTTCCACTAGACCAGGTTGCCTCAAAGCCTGGTTACCTCTCAAAGCCTCATCCAGCCTGGCCTTGAACACTTCCAGGGATGGGGCATCCAGAACGTCTCTGTGTAACCTGTTGCAGTGTCTCACCACCCTCATCATAAAAAATGTCTTCTTTATGTCCTATCTAAATCTACCTTCTTTCAGTTTAAAATCATTACTCCTTGTTCGACCACTACAGCCCCTGGTACAAAGTCTCTCTTTCTCCTTTATAAATCCCACTTATATATTGAAATGCCTCAATAAGGTCTCCCTAGAGCCTTCTTTTCTCCAGGTTGAACAACCCCAATTCCCTCAGTCTTTTCACAAGAGAGGTGTTCCAACCCTCTGGTCATTTTCATGGCCCTCCTCTGGCCCCACACATTCATGTCTTGTACTGGGGACCTCAGAGCTGGAGGCAGTATTGCAAGTGGGGTCTCAGGAGAGTGGGATAGATGGAGAGAATCAAATCCCTTGACCTGCTGCCCACGCTTCTTGTGATGAAGCCCAGGATACGGTTGGCTTTCTGGGCTGCGAGCGCACACTGATGGCTCATGTCAAATTTTACATCCACCAATACCCCTGAGTCCTTCTCTGCAGAGCTGCTCTCAATCTGTTCATCAGCCAGTACTTCTTAATATTCAGCAACTTCCTGTTAAATTCAAAGACTGGGATTCAATTTTCCTGCACACTTCACCTGGCTGGACTCAGTGCTCCCTGCTTGCTGGCACCTGCGAATGTCTCATAGTTAATAACCTAGCTCTCAGGAGCTGTAGGGGGAACTCAAACACCAAACTCAGAACTAAGGCTGATGTCAATGGTCCTGCAGTTAGATATACACATTCCTATGTGACTGTTGCCTCAAAAACATTTGCCAGTGTATAAGATCATTCACAGTGACAGTTATTGCAGGTCAGCTGGCAAATGCTCATTTGTTTTCCATACAGTAGTTTATTTGCATGTTTCAACCTTATTTACTTTATTTAGCCACAAGTGACTAACCCATGCTTGGAAAACAGGAAACTATCTGCTCTACTGTCTGTTCTACCATGCCTGTCAGATTCTCTATATCACTTTTCTTTCACAGCTCAATCTCTTCTTTACTTCAAATAAATACTTACGTTACTTAAAAATGTGAATTAAAGGATTATAGATCTCTAATCTTCCTCTCAAAATTTAAAATTATATTCATGAATGTACATTTAAGAACTAATTGCACTGATTTACTCCGATAGTAAAGGCCTGTGCTCTATAACTGCATCAATTTGCTCTTCAGGTGAAGACAGATGATAGAATAATCAAAATGGACCTTGGTCTCTTATTCTTGAAGTTGCATCGGCTGGATGCAGGGACCTATTTTTGTCAGACAGTGGAACACAGCATTGTTCACACTGTCAGGAAAATCACCCTGGAAATAGTTGAGGAAGAACGTGTAGATGAAATGTTCAATAAAGACTACGAGGAGGAGATACCTCACAAAATGCCATGCCCAATGCAGAGCAGTATACCTCAGGCATCGAAGCCGTGGTACAAGGAATTTCTTCAACTAATAGGTTACAGCAACTTCCAGAGGGTGGAGGAATACTGTGAAAAAGTGTGGTGTACAGATAAGAAGAGAAAAAAGCTCAAAATGTCTCCATCCAAGTGGAAATACGCCAACCCTCAGGAGAAAAAGGCAAGGATCAGGCCAGAGCATTACCGGTTGCCCAGGAACATAGCTGACTCTTGATGGACAAAATCTATCTACTGCTTCTGGGCAAAATTGTATTTGGACTTAAGTAAGAGGGAGAAATCAGTCTCGGATTTGACAAATGACACAGGTTTATATATATAAAATATTGGGACTGAAAACAAAGATCCAATGGTAAGTTATACTGTACACTCATGATGACTGTTTAGAAGCATTTTAAACAAAATCTTCTTAACTATCTGATTCTAAGCAGGTCAACACAATCAGAGTTTTGCTTTAGGGAGAACGTGACAATCTTCAGACTTTGAGTGCTTGAATCAGTTTCCTGTGTGGACCATGCTTGCGCTGTATATTGTTGCATATGATGGCATATTTAAGGAAATGCAAATAACTAAGCATTCACAAGCACGTGAAAAACGTAACACATCTCTTTTCTTCATTTCACAAATTTCTCATGCTTCTAAAAGCAGCACATTTTAAGATCTTTCTTTTTGATCGTGACCTGTCTGAGTTTATCACTGAGAGCAATGAGTTGTGTTAATACAGTGTACTGCTATTTCTAAAGATAATGAAGGGAAATCCTGTTTACTTCCCACCATTTTTTTGTCTTATCAGTCACTTATGAAGTGCAGTGTGCTCTCACAGCTAAATAATATTGCCTAGTAACTTGATGTAAGTGAAATGCATGCTGAGAACACAAACAGAATGAAATTCTTCAATTTGTCTATATAAAAGTTGGAATAATGGTTAAGACAGAAGACGAGCCTCTCAGTGGGCATTGCCTCGGTAACCAGACGAGTGAGGGGAGTGCCCTCTTGTGGGAAAACAAAGCCAAGGCTGATGCTATCAGCTACTTTCTGAAGAAACGCGTAGCGGCAAAGTATTACTCACATCCACAGCTCGTTTCTTTTCAGCACACTCTTCTAGCCTCCACGTGCTAAATCCACAGATTTAGAAGGCAGCGTTGGAAGTAATTTATGCTGGAAAGACAGAATTTAAAATAACTAATGCTTCATGTTGTTAACTTGCTTTTAGGGTAAAAAAAAGCAGTCGTGAAAAGTTAGGATGTAGATTACAAACAACAGCACTATGTATCTGTGTTTCTAGAGTTTCAGGGTCTGATCCAGGTAAATCTTTTCCTGATATGTGATCTTTAGTCAAAAGGGCTGCTTTACTACTCTTGTGAGTGATACCAGGAGAGGAGATCAAACAACCAAGTCACTCACGATCTAGGTCTTTCATGACTTATTTTTTTAAAAAGAGAAAAATATCTTTAAGTACAAGAAACCAGATGCATAAAATGAAGAAAAACTAGCATTTCAGTATTTGTGAAATCTTATATTTTTTTTTAATTGAAAATTAAATAGGGAAGTTATAAACACAAATGAGTCAGAAATTAACTCCTCAAATAAGAACATGATGCCAGTGGGGGAAAGAGCCAAGCTGATACAGATTTTGATGCATCAAGAAATACACAATGGATTCACCAGCCACAAAAATGTTCATGTTGAGATTCAACTTCTAATCAGAAACCTGAATTTAGACTTAGTGGGAATTAACAGATTGTTAATTTACAGATAACACAGGTTTTCTAGATCTGCTGTGTTAACAAACGAAGCAATCAAAGTTGACTGAATGTTTTCCAAACAGGCTGTGTGCAAGAGGGTCTCGCATTTGCTGGCAGGACCAGCAAGCTTTGCTGTGCTCCTCTGGGAAGAGACTGTCCCAGTGTCTGAAAGGAGCCTGTGTGCACACGGTCAGCAACTGGAGCATGAGGAAAACAGGGATTCACCTTGTGTCAGTATAACAGCAGATAAACCTTTCTGTCAGCCAGCTGTGTAAAGAAAATCAGTTTATCTGGGGTTTTGCACTTCATTTAGCTAGAATGCCTAAGAGAAAGGGCTGGGCACTGTGTGCAGCCTTCCATGAATTCACATAGTTACTGACTTTGATCTCATACAGGAGACTGGATAAATTCACTTTTCAGTTTAATGGAACTTAGTTGCAGTTCAGACCCTCTGTTTACATTTCTATGGAAAGTTCTAGATGTGAAGGCTGTGGCAGAGAGAATACACGCAGCAAAATCATCCCTGATTTAGACTCAATCCCCTGTACAATCCCCACTGGCATCTTTAATAGAAAAATGTTAAAACACCACTGAAATTACTTTCTGATGATTTATGGAGTCCACTTCTTTTCAACAGTAATGGAAGTTATATTTTATTTTTTCTGATTCACTTGGTAGTATCTAGTGCCAAATGTACCATTAATGGACTATTAGAAATGAGTAACAGCATCTCAGCCTGATGGAACAAATATGACTGTGTCTCACTGAGATTTCAGGTGGAAATCATGTGATATGTAAATCAGGATTCCTGATTTAATACGAGAGTGTGTATTTTTAGCTTCCCATCCCTTTATTGATTACATGTGGAGAACTGCATTAAATTTTTCTTTACCTTTCAAAATTTAAATTTCTAGCTCACACCTTGCTACTTTCATGGTTGTAATGCCTGTGAGAATTCAGAACTTCAAGGTCTTTTTCAAAGAGTGCTGGGACATCTATGAAGAAGAGAAAGAGCGATAATGTATTTTGGAAGGATACGCACAAATGTGCTCGTACACAATGTTATTTAAAATGCTTCTTTGTATATTTGGGGCGTATTGTCTGCTTCTTTTCATTATGAGTTTGATGTATTTTGTATGTGCATGAAGTGGTCAAACTATAAATATAATTAAGAACCATATTTGGCTGAAATCATCTGTATTATTTCTCATAATTTATTTTCACCAGACAACATGATTACGTGCAGATCAGTAGTCACATTATTATTTACAGATGCCCTTCACCGTACATTTTACAAGCAGAACTCAGATCAGGACAGAGGGTTGTTAGAATACGGTTGCCAAGGGGGAGACTGTGGCACCAGGTAATGAGTAGATTTAGACTGTTAATGTCAAGTAGATTTGGGAAAGGTATGATTACAGCAGCAACTGCTACCTGAATATATTTTGAGTGGAACATGGCCACTTAAACCCAGAAGATTTTAACGGATGGAAATTCATTGAGAAACACGAATTTGGACAAAGCTCTGAACTTTGACCTGCCTGATGAGTGACAAGCCAGATCACTTGGACTAAACACTTTGCTTTGCTTTTGCTCTTTTGTTCTCAATGAGATTATTGTCACCTTGTACAAACAAATCTGTGCTCTCGGATTCTGTTGGGATATCAGGCCAGGAGTGTGCTAGCATGCTGTAAAACTCCTGGCTTGTGTATCTCAAAATAGGCTTTTAGGATCCATACAACTTTTCTGCAGCATAAACCAGACCACTTTATGTAGGCAAGAGATAAAAATAACTGCCCTACATCCAGGTGCCTGAACTGCAGAGTTAACAGTCATATCTGAAGTGCTTGAATTAACATAACTAACATAGTTATAGACTTTCTCTTCTTATTTTACTTTCTTTTACACCATGTGTGTGTGAATTTTCTTTCCCCCGAAATAGAAGTCAGTTAGTTTCCCCTTTTCAGAAAGTCCATTAATCTCCTTAGTCTACCTTGGAGCAGTGAAGCTGGGGTTATTTATGCAACTTTATGTCCCTGGGTCCAGAAAGCACAAGTGCCTCTGAAAGCTGCACTGTCCAGATAAGAGGCAGCGAAATTGAGCTTTTCTACAACTGTAACCTAGCAGGATGTCTGAAATCCCTATCAGCCCTGGAATCCTGTTCAGTTCACTGAATTACTGCTTTTAAAGGAGAATTCGTGTGCAGTTAACACAAGTATTTATTGCAAATGAAGCTATGATTGACAAGTCTTGCCTTTGGGTGATATTTACTTTCTCCACTCATAATGAGTGATCTTTTAACTTATTTCCTCAAAAAAAAAAAAAATCTGACTAGCACAATAAAAAGAAAAAGCTAGCAGAGCTAGCAATGTCAAGTAAAGCTACCAGTTGCTATGAGTTAATCAACATTTTACAGGGATCCACACATTTGTGAACAAATTTACCAAACACCATCCTAATCCATCACTGTAATCCGATTTTGCAAAACAACTTTGCCTCTTTGAGTTATGACTTTCATGTAACGGTGAACCAGGAAATACATTGTTAAGCCCTTGCTCACATGTGCTCATAATTTGCTGAAGTGAGAGGTGCAGGACTGAGCATGGTTGAACATAGTTGGAGCACAGAAGCCTTAACTGCCCATTTCCTAGATTTGCTGAGATATTTATCCATACCTAGAAAGAGCAGATTTAATTGCAGGGGGAGAAGCCTGGATCCATGAATGGTTTGGAGAGTCACAAATCCTGTTTCAGAACATCTGTGGACTAAAAAGCCATTGTGGATGACTGTTTTCAGTAGACTTCCCCAGTTACGACACTCAGAAAACTCCATTGAAATAAAATATTCCTTTACTTGCGATGTCAGTTAATTCAACTCTAGAATTTCATGCCTTTGATAGTGTTTATGCACATCTTTGAAAAGCCACTTTTAAAGAAATGCAGTCTAGGAGTACATTTAATGTGTGTGCAATTGCACATAAATTATGAACTCTCAGAATAACTCTAGTCAGTTTGAAATTCAGCATACCCAGCAAAATCACACATACAACCCATGATGATTTTTTTTCTCACGCTCACCCAGTGCCCTCAACATGGATTTCAAGCATGCCTGTGAAGGAACATAGTAATGTCAATAGTCATCATCATCATACACCATTACAGGTGTAACTAACCGTCTTCTATTCCCAATAATAAGAGATTAAATTTGCAGGCTAATGGGCATGATTAATGCACAATGAACATTTTCTGCTGTTATTAATAATCAGGATTTGAAGAATGCATGGACCTTGTGAAAATCAAGGTAATGGAAATATTCCACCTGTAACTTTAACTCAGGCATGCTGAGCATGGCAGCTTCAGTTTATGGTAGTAGAAGCTAACACAGCCTGGTCAGTAATTCCTGCTATAGGGGGGAAACTTCTGGAAGAGGGTCAAAGCGAAAAATCAGAGATTAGTAAGAATATCCAAGAATATAAAGCCTGTTTATGGTAATGTCCATTCACGGTCTTGTCAGACTGAATCCAGGGTACAGTCCATATTAATATTTAAAGCACCAGAGCCTGTAGTTATTCAGGCTTCTTTGGTTTGTTTTCCTTGGTGGGGGAGGGAAGGTGGTGGTTTTTGTTTGGTTATTTGGTTGTTTTTCCCTTGTAACTGTTGGAGAAAATTATAAATTTTTAGACTGTAACTTGTCAGGTCCTTTTTAGATGTTTTCATTAGGATG